TTTTGTACTTTAAATGCTGAAGAGAAGAGATAGTCGCCAACAAACAGTTAAAAATTATGTAGGAGGATTTGTTTTGTCTCTGTGTATCACCTGAGGCTAGTCGCTTTAGTGGGTATATGTAAGGGTTTGCAGCCACTTTAACCAGAGCACTGGGACTTCTTACAGCCATATGTGACAACTTAGATTTCTAGTCAGGTACCCTAATCAGATTTAAACAATTCTGACCCCTGACTTTTCTCAAATGGGAGGTTTTGGGATAGGTCAGACCTCCCACATTGGGGGAATACAACTTGAACCACCAATATGGTCCTACCTCAAAATCAAGAAAGAAAAGACAAATGTTCTTCTGATATATGCAACTCATTAGCTTTTATATATTTATTTTGTTCTTATCTTATATTAACCATATTATTGCAAAACAAATCCTCCCTTCTAGTTCACTCTTATGTTCTTGTGTTTTAAAAGCCTAAACACAAGCCTCTTGCCTCCTCATTCTCTATCCTCCAGTTTTTATCAGATCCCTTTACTTCAACAAGACTGGGGGCTCAATCCAATTGGCAGATTAGGCAATCTACATTAATATTTAGGTGTCAGTAAATCTGCTTAATCCAGATTGGAATGACTGATTTACTCTCCTCTGTTCTCCATACAGAAGAGATGCATATCAAAATTGAATTGCGATGCAATACAAGTACCAAGAGAGTATCTACTACTATTGTTTTCATTTACAGTATAGGTCAGGTATTCTGGCTATTTTTTTAAACAAGCTTTGCTGACTATGTTACGGATTGTTTTAATTCCCTTGATTAGAAATCTTAGCATGCTGTCAAATGCTTGCTGACAACAGAAAGTCAGGTTCACACAAGCATATTTTTTTAATTTATAGTATTTGTAAAGGCTGAAGGTTTTTACCTTCATGTATGTGTTCAGCTCCCCCTCTCAGCCCCCCGTACTCACCCAAGAAAGTGGCAATCCAGAGCTGTGCACAAGAGCACAGCTCTCCCAGGTCTCTACCCCCCATTAGCTGAGACACAGCAGTGTCAATCACAGCCATTGAGGAGGGAGTATCATACAGGGCCAAGCTGCACTCTGTGTGTCTCATCACAGAAGCGACTCTGGAATGAGTGCACACAAGTGCTTCCAGATCAAACAGTTTTCTTTAGAGGGCACTCAGCAGAGGGGAGGGGCAGGAATTAAGGAGATCTTGGAAATGGGTACAGCAACTTTTCTACTCTATCTTTAAAAAAATGTTTAATTACAATCTTGCTTGCAGAAGTTTTGCTCACAGCAGTAAAAAGCTGAAAAGAGTTTAAACCCTTCCCCACTCTGTCCAAAACAAAAATGTTTTGGCTGAATCTAGGCTTTTAGTTGACTTGCACGAGGTTCATTCAATCCATTTAATTAGTGATTTCTCAGAGACTAAAGGTTGAAAACCAACTGCTACTTCAATGGCCATATCAGTCTCACTAGACTTGTTGTTACAGAGTAATGTCACGTAGCCTTAAAGTTAATTGTACACTGTATGTCCGGAAGTTTATAGATCCCTTACCATCAGATCTACTATATGGCCACTAGTATATGGATACCCCTCTAAATTTTTCAGTTCAGGTGTTTGCAGTGAAGGATAATGTAAATGCTACAGAATGCTATTATATTTTAAGATATTGTGCACTTTCACCTTTGTGGCATGCCAACCACGGCACCACCTGCCTGGAGCTTGCATGTTCTCCCTGTGCCTGCAAGGGTTTCCTCCGGGTACTCCGGTTTCCTCCCAAACTCCAAAGATATGCTGGAAGGTTAATTGGCTCCTGTCTAAATTGGCCCTAGTATGTGTATGTATGAATGTAGGTTAGGGACCTTAGATTGTATGCCCCTTGAGGGTTAGGGACTGATGTGAATGTACAATATATATGTGAAATTGACAGCGCTATATAAGTACCTGAAATAAATAAATAATCAATTTGGGGAATTTTTTGTTCCAGCATGGCTGTGTCTCTGTGCACAAAGATAGGCACATGAAGATAGGATTTGATAAAGTGGACCATACTCTGATAGAAATTCTTCTGGTTAAGCAGCTTTGAATTTTGATTAGTTTGTGGCTACCCCTGCCCCATTTGGTCAATCTCTTTCTGCTGATCAGTGTATTTTGCTGACAAAATACAGTGTTCTGGTAAGGGATTCCTCCATTCACCAGTCACCAGCTGACTGCACCAAAAAAAAAAAATAAAAAAACAACAGTGTATGGTCAGCTTGAAATTGGTGTGGAGGAACTCAAGTGTCCTGCACAGAGCCCTGACCTCAACCCTATTGAACACGTTTTGATCAATTGCAATGCCAATTGCAAACTAGGTCTTTTTATCCTGCTTCAGTACCAGACCTCACACATGTTCTTTTGTCTGGGAAACATTCCCAAAAGAATCAAAGCTGTTATAGCCACACAGAGGGGGACAACTCCATATAAATGCCCATGATTTTGGAATGGGATGTCCCACAAGCTCATATAGGTGTGATGGTCAAGTGTCCACAAACATTTGATCATGTAATCAATGTATATGTCTTTGGGGAACCACTGATGTTCCACCTTCTGAATCTCACATAGATATGTATGGTGAAACATTACTATTAGTTACATAACATTTAAAGTTGTTGAAGTCTCACTGGGAAAGTGTAGTTTGCTTCTTCAATGATTTTAAGATCTATAACAAAAGGGCATTGAATATTCTATTTTTGCCGTTTACATTCAACTAAATAATCAGTTTAGGTTGGATGGTAAAATCAGGTTTTTAATTTTCATCTTTCCTCTGTTGAAAGACATATTTTTTTCTCTTTATACATATCAAAAATGTTGTAACTTAAAAATATAGCAACCATAATAGATGTTAATCTAGATAGCAACTTATAAACAAAAAAAAACATGGATGACGAAGACTGCCATTGACCTTTTTCTGCTTTAACAGCAAAAAAACCAAATTACCAGTGGCTGGAGCAACAGAGGGACATGAAGCAGCTGTTGTACATCAGGACTAGCGTGCTTTCATTATGTTCATAATAGATAGGCCACTTAGAATATGAAAATGCTCCCTGCTGAGGTTCTCCTGGCAGAAGCAAAGGATGGCTTGTAAAAAAAGATGGATGTGCTTCTAGCATAAAAACTAAAGAATTGTAGAATGTAAAAAAAAACATTCTGCATCTCCAAAAATCCACTATATTTTCTGGCATCACTAAACTGGATTTATCAATCATGCCTGAAAAATGAAGTCTCTGCATTGCCCACAGCAACTACTTAGATGTGAACTCCCATTTTTGTAGATTAGAAAATGAAACCATACCTCCCAACTTTCTGAGATTATAAAGAGGGACACTTTTTAGCACCTTATAGCACCTTTAGTAACCTCAATATTGGGTTTTTAAAGTAACGAATGCAGTAATGTAGTGGTTGGATAAAAATGCAGTGCGGCAAAACACCCTTTGTAGTGAAATAGCACATTTTGTGCAGAGATTTACATCACACCAAAAAAGAGGGAAAACTGAGGGTTCACAAGGGACAAAGGGATTTGATCTCAAAAGGCAGACAGTCCCTTAAATTGAGGGACAGTTGAAAGCTATGTGAAAGGATGATTCTGACTGACTACTTGGAGCAAATACTCCACTTCCATTCAGATGTTTAAGATGCTATATTATCCAGTGATAAGTGTCATCCAGGGGTTAGTTTTTTTTTTTCTTTTATTTGTAAAGAACAGATACTAATTTTATATACATACAGTATATAGTTATATATTATTTTATGGTATTATTGTTATTTTAGAAATATACATCTTTTAGGTTCTACTTTATATAAAATGGATGTCATAAAAAGGTACATTGTGTACTGAAGTTAAGAAACTCTATGTTAGAGGCTATCCACTGTATTGCACTTGCAGACCAAGACAATTGTTCGACATCATATGAAGTAAAATGTGAACATCAGGCAAATAATTTCTGCTGAAAATGTAATTGGTTGCTGAAATATACACTCACTGGCCACTTTATTAGGTACATCTTGCTAGTCTCAAGAAAATATCCCCCACACCATTACACCACCACTAGCCTGAACCGTTCATACAAATCAGGATGGATCCATTCTTTCTTGTTGTTTATGCCAAATTCTGGCCCTACCATCTGAATGTCACAGTTGAAATCAAATGCCCATTCTCCTCTGACATCAACAAGGCATTTTTTTCCACACGACTGCCGCTCACTGGATATTTTCTCTTTTTCGGACCATTCTCTGTAAACCCTAGAGATGGTTGTGTGTGAAAATCCAAGTAGATCAGGAGTTTTTGAAGTACTCAGACCATCCCATCTGGCAGCAACAACTATGCCACGTTCAAAGTCACTTAAATCCCCTTGCTTCCCCATTAAGATGCTTGGATTGAACTTTAAAAAGTCGTCTTCCCATCACCACGTCTAGATGCCTAAATGCATTGAGTTGCTGCCAAGTGATTGGCTGATCAGCAAATTTATGTTACCAAGCAATTGCACAGGTGTACATAATAAAGTGGCTGGGGAGTGTATATTGCCAACTGTTTTTTACCATTAGCAATTTCTTGTAGTTAGAAATGGCATATTCTATTTCCAGTACATCCCTATGATGTGCAACTATCTTATGTTCTATACAAATATTCACTGTGTCACAATAATATACACTGCTCAAAAAAATTAAAGGAACACTTTGAAAACACATCAGATCTCAATGGGGAAAAATATCATACTGGATATCTATACCGATATGGACTGGGTAATGTGTTAGAAACATATGGATGTCCCATCCTTTGATGGAAATGAAAATTATCAACCTACAGAGGACTGAATTCAAAAGCCCCCCCCCGAAAATCAAAGTGCAAAAAATTATGCAGCAGGCCTGTCCATTTTGCTGAAATTTCACTGCAGCAACTCAAAATGGTACTCAGTAGTTTGTATGGCCCCCACGTGCTTGTATGCATGCCTGACAACTTTGGGGCCAGGGGAGGACTGACCATTTGGAAACACGGGCACTGCTCGAGGGCCCGGGGTCAGTAGGGGACCCCGTGAGATGCCCCTGGTACCTTTTCATAGGCTTTTTTGAGTTTGGGCAAAGACACAGGGGCCCCATGATCCCCTATTGCCCGGGGGCCCCATGAGTTGTCAGTCTGCCACTGTTTGGGGCATGCTCCTATTGAGATGGTGTCATGAGGTATTTCCTCCCAGATTTGGGCCAGAGCATCACTGAGCTCCTGGAAACTCTGAGGTGCAACCTGGCGGTGTCGGATGGATCGAGACATAATATCCCAGAGCTGTTCTATTGGATTTAGGTCAAGTGAGCATGGAGGCCATTCAATTATATCAATTCCTTCATCCTCCAGGAACTGCCTGCTAACTTGTCGTGCACCAGGAGGAAGCCAGGACCCACTGCACCAGCGTAGGGTCTGATAATGGGTCCAAGGATTTCATCCCGATACCTAATGGCAGTCATGGTGCCATTGTCTAGCCTGTAGAGCTCTGTGCATTCCTCCATGGATATGCCTCCCCAGAGCATAACTGACCCACCACCAAAACAGTCATGTTTAACAATGTTACAGGCAGCATAACGTTTTCCTTGGCTTCTCCAGACCCTGTCATGTCTGCTCAGGGTGAACCTGCTCTCATCTGTGAAAAGCACAGAGTGCCAGTGGCAGATCTGCCAATTCTGGTGTTCAATGGCAAATGCCAATAGGTGCTGGGCAGTGAGCACAGGGTCCATTAGAGGACGTTGGGCCCTCAGGCCACCCTCATGAAGTCTGTTTCTGATTGTTTGGTCAGAGACATTCACACCAGTGGCCTGCTAGAGGTCATTTTGTAGGGCTCTGGCAATGCTCATCCTGTTCCTCCTTGCACAAAGAAGCAGATACCGGTCCTGCTGATGGGCTAAGGACATTATATGCCCTGTCCAGCTCTCCTCAAGTAACTGCCTGTCTCCTGAAATCTCCTCCATGCTCTTGAGACTGTGCTGGGAGAAACAGCAAACCTTCTGGCAATGGTACGTATTGATGTGCCATCCTGGAGGAGTTGTACTGCCTGTGCAACCTCTGTAGGGTCCAGGTTTCACCTCATGTCAAATGCAAAACTAGTGAAAGACAGTCAAAAAAGATGAGTAGGGAAAAAAATGTCAGTGGCCTCCACCTGTAACACCATTCCTGTTTTGGGGGTTGTCTCATTGTTGCCCATCTAGTGCTTTTGTTGTTAATTTAATTAACACCAAAGCACCTGAAACTGATTAACAACCCCCTCTGCTACTTGACTGACTAGATCAATATCCCAGGAGTTTAATTGACTTGACGTTATACTCTGATTAAAAAGTGTTCCTTTAATTTTTTTGAGCAGTGTATATACTATAACATTTTAATTAATCACATTTCCTGATAAATACAAATTTACAGTCCCATTTACAACCTTGTACACCCAGAGCCATTTACCCACTAGTGAGCTGGGTAACAGTTTAGAAGGACTACTAAACTCACCACTTACCTCTCATGACTTTATTGGTGCACACCTTTAGAGTTCTTTCCCCAGACTGGCTCAATTTAAAGTAGTTCAGCATAATAGATGGCAATATGTACAGTGGATTTCATATACGCATCCATCTTTTAATTTTTATATGTACATCTTTAGAGAATGTATCTAATTAGATAAAGTGATATTAAACCCTCAGTTTTTAAACACTTTCAGCGGCTGGTGCAATCACTTACTGAGTATACAACTTTTTCATCTTTTAATCTTTGCCTATGTTCCAATTTAAGCTGCTGCCATGACTGGTGCTCCAGGTTTCCTATTTAACTGGTTCCCAACCGCGCTAAAGCCGAAGGACGGCTACAGCGCGATTATGTAATCCTGGTACGACATCCATGGACATCATTCCAGAACACGCCCCTATGGACACAGCTGATCATGTGATACTGTAAATGGCCAATCATGGCGTCCTTTACCACGTGATCAGCTGTGTCCAAGGACACAGCAGATCACCGGGTAAATACAGTTGCCGGTTATCGGCTGCACTTTCCTCATGCTGTCACAGCATGAGGAAAGTACTGCCGAGAACTGGCAATTTTCAGCGAAGGGATAAGTACTGATCATCAGGGCACTGATGATCAGTGCCCTGATGATCAGTGCCACCCACCTGTGCCCATCAGTGCCACCCACCTGTGCCCTGCAGTGCCACACAGCAGTGCCACCCACATGTGCCCTGCAGTGCCACCCACCTGTATCCATCAGTGCCACCCACCTGTGCCCTGCAGTGCCACCCACCTGTGCCCATCAGTGCTGCCTATCAGTGCTGCCCAGCAGTGTCGTCAATCAGTGCTCAGCAATGCCGCCCATCAATGCCACCCATCAGTGCCCAGCAGTGCAGCATCATCAGTGCTGCTCATCAGTGCCTTCTATCAGTGCCCATCAGTGCTGCCTATCTGTGCCACCTCATCAGTGCCCATTAGTATTGCCTATCAGTGCCCATCAGGGCTGCCTATCAGTGCAGCCTTATCAGCGCACATCAGTGATGGAGAAAAATTACCTGTTTACAAAACTTTATAAAAGAAACAAAGAAAAACTTTTTTTTTGCTCTTTGTTTGGTTATAACACAAAAAATAAAACACCCAGTGGCAAGTAAATACCACCAAAAGAAAGCTCTATTTGTGTGAAACAAATCATGATAAAAATTTAATATGGGTTCAGTGTTGTATGACCGTACCATTATCATTCAAAGTGCAACAGCGCTGAAAGCTGAAAATTGGCCTGGGCAGTAAGGGGGTATAGGTGCCCAGTAGGCAAGTGATTAAGTGCTGGTTCACAGATATGCAGACTGAATGCAGTTTGACCTTATCCAATCCGCATTACATGTGAAAAAACATTGCATCCTATGATGCCTGTTCACATACTGTATGTCCGGTGCACTGGCAGTGTGGATTCAGTGTGGTTTAAAAAAGAGTCATATCCAGTTTCTGAGCAGTGCAGTCTGGTTCCAGAGCGGTTTCCAGGCTATTGACTTCTATGAGAGCCATTTCTAAACCACATATTTGTGAACGGGATAATCCTGAGAGCTAATCCTGCCCTAAACCTGATGTACACCTGACATGAACTGGTGAACAACTGCTGTATCAATTAGCTGTGAACCGTGAGCTTCCATCTGCACCACTCATGCGTGAATCAGCTCTAAGGGTGGCCCTTCCTCTTGCAGCATCCTATGAAACCACCCTTGCATGCAGCGACTAGATTTGTGTCTCTCTACACTGTGTGCATGAATAGAAACATACAGGCCTATAGCAGCCTAGGATGGCAAGACTCTCCCATGTTCCCGTTCTCCAAACTAACAGGCTGGCTCCAGACTGAACTGTCCACTGTTAACTTTTTCTTGTGAAGGCCAGATGTTTAGAAAAGCTGTACTGAGAGAGTAGGAGCTAGGTACATTGAAAGTTGTAAACTGTAGGTGCTGGGGTAAACATTTTAACAAATACTTAGGAATATACAGTCTATTTATTATTGTGCTCAATGTGTTAACCTAAAAACACTGAAGGTTTAATACTACTTTAATATGAATTATTAATATATACCATATTTTTCGCTCCATAAGATGTCTGTGCGTCTTATGGAGCGAATACGGAGCCGCCGGCTCGGTATTCCCACCGCCGCCATGTTAGAATACTGGGCCGGCCGCTCGGCTCTTCTCTGCTCCTCAGTCCTACCTGTTCCTCGGTCTAGCACTGTCCTCACCATCTTTTCTCCCCGGCATCTTTACTGGTCATCCCCTGTACCATGTCTGCAGTCTGGTCATTCCCTGTACAGTGTCCACAGTCTCTGGTCATTCCCTGTACAGTGTCCGCAGTCTCTGGTCATCTCCTGTACAGTGTTCGCAGTCTCTGGTCATCCCCTGTACTGTGTCCACAGTCTCTGGTCATCCCCTGTACCCACAGTGTGGTCCACAGTCTCTGGTCCATCCCTGTACTGTGTCCGCAGTCTCTGGTCATCCCCTGTACTGTGTCCGCAGTCTCTGGTCATCTCCTGTACTGTGCCGCAGTCCTGTACTGTGTCATCTCCTGGTCATCTCCTGTACTGTGTCCGCAGTCTCTGGTCATCTCCTGTACTGTGTCCGCAGTCTCTGGTCATCTCCTGTACTGTGTCCGCAGTCTCTGGTCATCTCCTGTACTGTGTCCGCAGTCTCTGGTCATCTCCTGTACTGTGTCCGCAGTCTCTGGTCATCTCCTGTACTGTGTCCGCAGTCTCTGGTCATCTCCTGTACTGTGTCCGCAGTCTCTGGTCATCTCCTGTACTGTGTCCGCAGTCTCTGGTCATCCCCTGTACTGTGTCCGCAGTCTCTGGTCATCTCCTGTACTGTGTCCGCAGTCTCTGGTCATCCCCTGTACTGTGTCCGCAGTCTCTGTTCATCTCCTGTACTGTGTCCGCAGTCTCTGGTCATCTCCTGTACTGTGTCCGCAGTCTCTGGTCATCTCCTATACTATGTCCGCAGTCTCTGGTCATCTCCTGTACTGTGTCCGCAGTCTCTGGTCATCTCCTGTACTTTGTCCGCAGTCTCTGGTCATCTCCTGTACTTTGTCCGCAGTCTCTGGTCATCTCCTGTAATGTGTCCGCAGTCTCTGGTCATCTCCTGTACTGTGTCCGCAGTCTCTGGTCATCTCCTGTACTATGTCTGCAGTCTCTGGTCATCTCCTGTACTATGTCTGCAGTCTCTGTCATCTCCTGTACTGTGTCCGCAGTCTCTGGTCATTTCCCGTACTATGTTTGCAGTCCATTAGTTCAGAATATTTTTTTTCTTGTTTTCCTCCTCTAAAACCTAGGTGTGTCTTATGGTCAGGTGCATCTTATGGAGCAAAACATACGGTAGATATTATATGCAGGCTCTCTATTTATTAGAACAAAATATTATTGTCTGCAAAATATGCACTGAGCAAGTATTCCTCAAAGTGAAATAAAAGCTTTAAATTCTAAACCAGAGTTTGCTATTTTGAGAAACTTGTATGGTGGGTACGCAGCTAGCTCCTGCTAATCCAGAAAGGGCATTGTTGCAGATGCATTCAACTTGCATTTGAGATCAGTTTGAAATGCTTCTTAGGGTCATCAGAACTCCATCCAAGCTGCAAAAAGCCAATTCAAATTGCTTTTGTATTCCCATTGAACTGTATGGGTAGAAAAGAAGTGTGAACAAAAGTCATTGTACACAAACTCTAAAGCAAACGCACATGTCAATTCAGCAGGGGAACGGGAAAGGGGAGGTGTATTCCCATCCAATTTGTTAGAAACTAGAAGGAAAGCAATTATTAAAATGAACTAGGTTTCCTATGTCACATTTGCCTGCCTTGGGG